AAGATTTGAAAGACGTGATTGATGGACTTGGTTCATCCCTTGATTTTGTAGAAGTTATGCTATGTATTGTTTAGAAAAGAGATCTTGAATATCATTCATGCAAAACCTTTATTACTGGTATCATTCACTGAGTATCCAAGCTCACCCTCTCCTTATGTATATGTAGGTGATGAGCAAGAAGGCGGCGACGCCTAGATGATTATTTGCAAGATGTTTTTGGGATTTCATGTTTTGTAGCATCTTGAAGATTATGCCTCTTGGCCTGTAGTTATCTCTTTGTATAGGTCGGCTTGAGAAGCCTTTTGATCAAGATGTATTTTTGCACTTTATTTTATTGTATCCAAGTTGTAAACTTCATTAAGATGTATGTCATTTCATTTGATCTATGCACAGCTCTTATGGACTACTTAGATTTAAATTTTTTTGCTTCCGCACATGTAAGCCCCATATGTATACTCTGATTGTGTATGAATCTTTGTAAGTTGGCCTTTGGTAATCTCGGATTATTGGCCATCACGGCACCATTCTACTAGGGGCGGAATGGGATCGTGACATCATAGATCAAGAGAAACTACAATTGAAGATGCAACTTCCCCACTATCAACTTATTGTAGTTGAACATCTAGATTTTAAACAGTTGTCAATTATTTCTGACTTATGTCAATGGTTGGTAAAGACTAGAAGATCAACAATCTACCATCTTGTTTGCCGAGTGATCGTACTTGTGCTTACTCTTCCAATTTCTACTGCAACTACAGAACGATCATTTTCAACAATGAAAACTATCACAACAAAGCTTCATAACAAGATGGAGAATGATTATCTCTCGAATTCTATGGTTTAATACATTGAAAGTGAAATAGCAAGAAAATTTAGCTCTAAAGAAATCTTAGATGAGTTTTGAGATTTGAAAGAGCATCAAGTTCCACTTTGATAGTTAGTCAAGTTGAAAAGTGAAGTTAAACTTCTTTTATTCTTATTTTGTCAAGGTTGAATGCTTCTTCCTTTTTTTTTTTAATATTATCATTATGTAGAAACTTAGTCTATAATTTTAATATATTTCTCTTGATTGAACTGGTATAATATCTCTATATTTTTTTTAGAAATGTAAATGTATTGCCCACTATCAACTTATCGATTGGTGATATTTTCCATTTGGTGGACAAGTTCTATCCACAAGACTTCATAGATCAAGAAGAGAGGATCTTCGATGGAGAAAGGTGGATGGAACCCAGTTATACACAGGAGAAAGGCGGGTTAGCAGAGAGGATCTCGGAAGGAGCAAGGGTTGATCACCATTTTCATGGCTAACATTCCAAAATCCATGGATCCTAAAGGGTTATTCACTCTATTTCGCAAGTTTGGTATAGTAAAAGATGTGTTCATTCCAGGGAAAAGAATGCAAGCAACAAGATCTAGATTTGGTTTTGTTAGATACGATTGTGAAGTGGCTGCAGAGATAGCGATCCAGAAGGTAGATTGCATGTGGTGCGATAATGGGGCCTTGATGGTGAAAAGAGCAGAGTATCAAAAATCCCAAAGTTCTGTCCCAATGGCGCAGAGGGAGCTATGCAAAGGCGAAGCTGGGATGAGGATTCAATAGCGGATTCAATTGCAGCAGAGGCAGAATCAGAAAAGAAAGAGGTCATATGCTGAGGCATTACTTAGTGAAGGAGCCTGTGAAGGGGAGAAGTTGGTGATTAAGGCTTATGAGAAAGGAAATGGGTGGAGGTACGAAAGCTTAGTTATGAAATTGTGTAGTTTTCTAGCTTTCAAGGACTTTAGAGCAGAGTTATACAAAAGAGGGATGAAGGATGTGGTTGCAAGGGAGTGTGGAGGCAGATTAGTGCTACTAACTTTCAGCTCAGCTCAACAGATGAAGGAAGGGAAGGTTCAGCTGGGTGAGTAGAGTTAGAAGTGGTGTGACTCAGTTGAAGAATGGGGGGAAGGTCAATTCGTAGAACAAGAGAGGTGTGTTTGGTTATGTTACTTTGGCATGCCAATCAATCTTTGGAGTGTCACAACCTTTCGTAGTATAGCTAGTCATTGGGGGCTGGTGGTCCAACTTGAAGAGGATATTAATAACCCTCAAACCTTTCAGCAAGGCAGAGTTCAAGTACTTACGAGGTGTATGGAGATGATCAACACGACTGTTTATTTGGAATGTAAAGGCACTCTTAATCCTGTGAGAGTCTGTGAGGAATTACAAAGTTGTTTATGCCCTAGTTCTAGTTCTAGCAGGGGAAAATACCATGTTCTACTTCAATCCAAAGATAAAGAAGATGTGGATCAGCTATCTGGCAATGGAGGTTATATGAGAAGTGCCCAGAAGCTTCTTTAGCAAGGGAGGAGGACATGGGGGGAGGCTCTGATGAGGTGAGTAGGGTGTTGGAGACAGAGCCAGACAGACCAGATGTGTTGGGTAGGAGAAGTGATGGTAAGTATGCAACAGCCGAAGTTAATCTAGAAGGATGCATAGGGAGTGGTTGTATAGATGCATGCTTCAAGGAGGAAGGTCTATTTCAAGCAGTCAACTCACAAAAGGCAATGATGGACAATATTCAAATTCCAAATGGGGCTATAGGCACTTCTAGGCTATTAGAGAGTTGTGGGCCAGAGGGGGAAAGACCCATTATTAATCTGGAAGTACTAATTGAGGGGGTGCAGGTTGGGCCTATGCCCAGTGGATCAAATAATAGGGAGGGGTTGAAATTGGGTGATAGTGTGGCCCAGCCTAGACTCAGGCCCAATTTGGTTCAATCTATACAGAAGAATTTGGAAAAGCATGTTGGCGCAAGCAGAAAAGGCAAGGAAGTAGAAGCCCAGAAAGCATATACCACTTGGAAAAAAGGCTCAGTTTCAAGGAGGGGCAGCAGGCTAGCTGGAGGCATTAGCAAACAAAGGGGTGTGGTCGGCAGCCTTGGCTTCCAAAGAGGAGCCATTTTCAGAGCCACAACAGCAGCAGTAGCTTCCTACTTGTCATCCTTTCATAGTCACTCAAGGATTAGAAAGAGAAATCTAATAGAAGAGGCGCAGTCAACATTGAAGGTAGGAATAGTTCTGGGGCTGCAGTACTAAGATCAAAAGGCAGAGGTTGTGAGTAAGATAGTGGAATTAGAGGAGAATGACTTGGAAAGACTTGCAGGTGCAGTAGGGGCAAACAGAAACTAACTGGTTGCCAAAAGGAGAAATAAGGGTGAAAAGTCAGTTTAATCATGCAAATTTTATCTTGGAATGTTAAAGGGCTAAGAAGGCCAGAAAAAATGGGGAAAATTAAGCACCTAGTGAAGGATAGGAATGTGGATGTATTATTATTACAAGAAACAAAAAGAAGTACTATGGATTATTGTTTTGTGAAGACCATGTGGCCTTATGAAGAGATGGATTTTCTAGGGGTGGACTCAAATAGTAGTGCAGGTGGACTTTTGTGCATTTGGAGGCCAGATGTTTTTAAGCTTAGAGACTGTTGTTGTAGTAAGAATTTTATTCTCCTATCAGGTACATTACGCTATTCTTTTGAGTGTGTCATTGTCAATATTTATGCCCCAAATGAGATTGTGGGTAAGAGACAGTTATGGGAGGTTCTGGTAAATGTATATTCTCATTATCCAAATCCTTAGTGTGTGGGGGGAATTTCAATGAAATTAGATTCATGAGTAAGAGGAAAAGGTATTCAAAAACAGAGAGGAGGATGAAGGATTTTAATGAGCTTATTGACAAATTGAAATTGACGGATCTGCCTATGCTAGGTAGACAGTTTACCTGGTATAATGCATTGGATGGGGAAAGATAGAGCATGATAGATAGATTCTTGTTGGATTCTAGGTGGTTAGAAAAGTTCTCTTTCAAGCAATGGGGTTTACCTAGAACCATATCAAATCACTGCCCAATTCTGTTGAAGGAGGATGTGCTCCAAGAAGGAAGGTCTAGTTCAAGAAGTCAACTCACAAAAGGCAATGATGAACAATATTCAAATTCCAAATGGGGCTATAGGCATTTCTGGGCTTTTAGAGAGTTGTGGGCCAGAGGGGGAAAGATCCAATATTAATCTGGAAGTACTACTTAAGGGGGTGCAGGTTGGGCCTATGCCCAGTGGATCAAATAATAGGGAGGGTTTGAAATTGGGTGACAGTGTGGCCCAGCCTAGATTCAGGCCCAATTTGGTTCAGTCTATACAGAAGAATTTGGGAAAGTATGCTGGTGCAACCAGAAAAGGCAAGGAAGTAGAAGCCCAAAAAGCATATACCACTTGGAAAAAAGGCTCAATTTCGAGGAGGGACAGCAGGCTAGCTGGAGGCCTTAGCAAACAAAGGGGTGTGGTCGGCAGCTTTGGATTCCAAAAAGGAGCCATTTTTAGAGCCACAACAGCAGCAGTAGCTTCCTCCTTGTCATCCTCTCAAAGTCACTCGAGAATTAGAAGGCGAAATCTAATTGAAGAGGTACAGTCAACACTGAAGGTAGGAGCAGTTATGGGGCTACAGTACCAAGGTCAAGAGGAAGAGATTGTGAGTAAGATTGTGGATTTAGAGAAGAATGACTTGGAAAGACTTGCAAGTGTAATAAGGGCAAACAAAAGCTAGCTGGTTTCCATTAGGGGAAATAGGGGTGCAAAGTCAGTTTAATCATGAAAATTTTATCTTGGAATGTTAGAGGGATGAGAAGGTTAGAAAAAAGGGGGAAGATCAAGCACCTGGTGAGGGATAGAAATGTGGATGTATTATTACTACAAGAAACAAAAAGAAGTTCTTTGGATGATTGTTTTGTGAAAACCATTTGGCCTTATGAAGAGATGGATTTTCTGAGGGTGGATTCAGATGGTAGTGCATGTGGACTTTTGTGCATTTGGAGGCCAGATGTCTTTAAGCTTAGAGACTGTTGTTACAGTAAGAATTTTATTCTCCTATCAGGTACATCATGCTATTCTTTTGAGTTTGTCATAGTCAATATTTATGCCCCAAATGAGATTGTGGGTAGGAGACAGTTCTGGGAGATTTTGGTAAATGTACACCCTCATTATCCAAATCCTTGGTGTGTGGGAAGGGGAGGATTTCAATGAAATTAGATTCATCAGTGAGAGGAAGGGGTGTTCAAGAAGAGAGAGGGGGATAAAGGACTTTAATGAGCTTATTGACAAATTGGAATTAACGGATCTGCCTATGCTAGGTAGACAGTTTACCTGGTGTAATGCATTGGATGGGGAAAGATGGAGCAGGATAGATAGATTCCTGTTGGATTCTAGATGGCTAGAAAAATTCTCTTTTAAGCAATGGGTTTTACCTAGAACCATATCAGATCACTGCCCAATTCTGTTGAAGGAGGATGAAAGGCATTGGGGCCCCAAACCCTTCAAGTTCTTAAATCCTTGGCTTTCATATCCTACCTTTATGCCTGAAGTTAAACAGCTTTGGCAGAACAACCATGTGTCAGGATGGGCAGGGTTTAGACTCATGAGGAAACTGAAAGAATTAAGACCTCATTTAAGGGTGTGGAACAAGGAGGTGTTTAGTGATATTGATTCTCTTTTAAAGTCAGCTGAAGAGGAGTTGCATGATTGGGATCTGAAGGCAGAATCTGGGTCTCTATCTAATGAGGATATTAGAAGAAGAAGAGAAGCTAGAAGTGTGGTGTGGAAATTAAGCAGAGATAAAGAGTGGTTATGGCATCAAAAGTCCAGAATGCTTTGGGCTCAAAATGGTGATAAAAACACTAGGTTTTTCGACATTATGGCTAGTAGGAGACAAAGAAAGAACTTGTTAGATTCAGTTTGTGTGGAGGGGGTGTGCTTTGAGGACCCTGCTCAGATTAAAAAGGCTGTGGTTAGGCATTTTAGGCAGTAGTTTTCGAAGAATTGGTCTATGAGGCCAAAGATTTCAGGCCCTTTCGATGTTATTAGCTCAGAGGCAGCAGCTAATTTGGAAACAATGTTCTCAGAAGATGAGATATGGGCGGCTCTTAAAGATTGTGATGGGAACAAGGCCCCAGGACCAGATGGTTTTAATCTAGCATGCATTCAAAAGTGTTGGCCTGTTATGAAAAGTGAGATTATTCAAATGTTTCATGAATTTCACACAAATGCTAATCTGTCAAGTGGGATTAATAGTTCCTTCATTGTGCTTATACCTAAGAGGGATAATCCTTCAGGATTGGGAGACTATAGGCCAATTAGTTTGGTCAGCTCCATCTATAAGATTTTGGCCAAGGTGTTGTCCAAAAGAATGAAGCAGGTACTCCCAGCTGTGATTAGTGAGGTGCAGTCAACATTTGTCAGTGGTAGGCACATTCTAGATGGTGTGTTAATAGCTAATGAAGTTGTAGATGGGTGGCACAGAGCTAAAAAGAAAGGCATCATCCTAAAGTTGGATTTCGAGAAAGCCTATGACTCATTAAGCTAGGAATTTTTGCTATCAATGTTGGGTAATTTTGGCTTTGGTGCTAGGTGGATTAGGTGGATAAAGTCTTGTATTACAACAGCTATGGTATCTATATTAGTTAATAGTACACCCACTGAGGAGTTTCAACCACAGAAGGGGTTAAGGCAAGGTGACCGTCTATCTCCATTTTTGTTCATTGTTGCAGCTGAAGACCTTAATCTCTTGTTGGAAAGGGCTATTGAGAAGGGCCTGACTAAGAGTGCATCAGGTGGCTCTGATCAGTTGGATATTTCACATCTTCAATTTGCAGATGATACTATCATTTTTTGTGAAGGTGGCATGGAGGAAGTCTTGAACATTAAGAGGGTTTTGAGGTGCTTTGAGGTGGTATCTAGTTTAAGAATAAATTTTCACAAAAGTGTGGTTTGTGGGATGGGCTATCATACAGACCAAACTAAAGAATTTGCTAAGGTGTTGAATTGTTTACCTAAGAAATTGCCTATTAATTTTTTAGGCTTGCCTTTAGGGGAAAATCCTAGAAGAAAGAGCACTTAGTCTCCAGTAGTGGTGAAGTTTCAGAAGAAGCTCTCTTCTTGGGAGAGGAAATTGTTGTCTTTTGCTGGTAGATTGACTCTGATAAAATCAGCCTTGTCCAATTTGCCTATCTATTTTCTTTCCATCTTTAAAATGCCAAAGGGGGTTGTCAAGTCTATTTCTAAGCTTCAGGCCAATTTTCTGTGGGGAGGTTCTGCTACCAATAGGAAAGTGCACATGGTCAAATGGAAGGAGGTCGCAAAAAGCAAGAATCAAGGAGGTTTAGGAGTGAGGGACTTAGGTGTGGTAAATGAATGCTTACTGCTGAAGTGGTGGTGGAGGTATGGCAGTGATGACAAAGCTCTGTGGAAATCTGTGTTATGCTCTAGGTATGGCAAACTTAGTAGGGGATGGACATCTACATTGAATCAATCAGTAGGGGTCTCAATAGTTTGGAAGGATATCTCACAGCTATCTGTGGCTGATCAGTAACTGGGTGAATTTTTTGGAGACCAAGTCAAAATCATAGTTGGCAATAGGAGGAGAATAAAGTTCTGGTATGATCCCTGGTTAGGTAACAGAGGTTTGAAGGCTGAATTTTCTAGATTGTTCAGTTTATCCACAGAGAATGAGGATTCTCTGCAGCAGATCAAAGCAAAGTTTGGTGCCTCAGTAGGTTGGCAACTTCAATTCAGAAGAAATCTCTTAGCGTGGGAAGAAGATGAATTGCAAAGGCTGTTAGGCATGTTGGTCTTATCTCCTTGTCTTAGAGTTGGTGTTGAGGACTCTTGCTCTTGGTTAGCAGAGAAGTCAGGGAAGTTTTCAGTTGCTTCTATGTGGAGATGAAGGGCTGCAACTAGTGGACCTGGTCTGGCAATCCCCGCAGGGATGTGGGTGAGTTTGGCCCCTCCAAAGACGCAGTTTTTTTTGTTGGTTGGCTTGGCGAGGTAGGGTCAAAACCTCAACCTTCCTTCAAAGAATTGGGGCTCTTGAAGTGAGTGCTAATAATCTGTGTGTTTTCTGCCAAACTGAGATGGAAACTATTATTCATGTGCTTCTGCTTTGTCCTCTGGTGTGGAAGTACTGGTCTCACATGGTAGATTAGTGAGATCAAGTTTGGGCTATTCCAAGTTCTGTAGAAGGCTTGCTGCAGTGGTGGAATGGTGGCAGGTTCAAATTCAAGTCTTAGGCACTCAAAGTCTAGCAGATTATTCCCTCTGTTGTCTTATGGTCAGTATGGAAATTGATAAATCAATGCTCATTTAAGGGTGCTCATCCTGACCTCCAAGAATTTTGTGAAAAAGTTAAGGTGCAGGTGGCTTTATGGTCCAAATGGCACTTGAAGGTGGATTATTTCAATTCAAGACATAGTATCCAATCTCTACCAGATCAGGTTGTAGTGAGGTTCCAGTAGATCAGAGGTTTGTTGATCAAGAATATGCTATAGTTGGCTGGGTCCTTTGGGTATTGCTTCTGCCAGAGTTGGTTTGATTGGCTTAGAAATATATTATTGGCAGCAGGTAAGGCAGTAGGTATGTGCACTAGGTTGAAGTGGGGTGCAGGTCTTTTTGTCCAATTTAAATCAGACCAGGTTTTCAAAAATGGGTTTTGTCACTAAGTGTAAATTTGTGCAGCTACTGGTGTTTCGGTTGGAAGGACATGAAAGGGGTATTTTGTGTTGCTCATCTGATTGAGGGTTTGTTGGTAGTTCATCTAGTTTGTCATTGTAGGAATTTGATGGAACTTGCTGGGGGAGGAGTCAAATTTTGTTTCTGTGCTTATATAGGCTAAACAATGGGTTGAGTTCTTGAATGGTGTCATATTGCTGTGCTGACCTTTTGCTTATATTAGTGCTTGTTATTGATGATCTGTTCTACAGCCTGTGCTGACTTGTTCTGTGCTTCAGTGTTGTTCTGTTTTGTTTTGCTCAGTCTCTTTTTTGTTGTCTCTTATTTGAGTGATCTGTGTGATTATCTGGTTTACAATTTGGAGTGTGGCAGTGCTAAGAATGTCTAGTTTTGCTGTTATGTTGTTGGTTGGATGCTGTTGGAGTCTCAATGACTTAGTGTTGTTTCTTTGCATTGGTTGGCTGTATGGGTGATGCTATGGTTGGTTTGTTTTGCTGTTGATTTTGTAGCAACCTTTGTTCCTTTGTTTTTGTTTTGTTTACTCCCTCTTTGGTTGGTTTCTCTCCAACCTAGTTGGGTTTTGGGAGGCCTGAGTTGACGCTTTTGGCTCTTGTCTTCCCTCTTTGTTGATGTATTTTGTTTTGTTATCATCAATAAACAGTTTTTTTGCTGATTAAAATAAAAAAAAAGAAAAAAAAAAAGACTTCATAGACTATAATTGAAGATGCAACTTCCCCACAATCAACTTACTATAGTTAAACATCTAGATTTTAAACAGTTGTCAATTATTTCTGACTTATGTCAATGGTTGGTAAAGACTAGAAGATCAACAATCTACCATCTTGTTTACCGAGTGATCAGACTTGTGTTTACTCTTTCAGTTTCTACCGCAACTGCAAAACGATCATTTTCAGCAATCAAAATTATCAAAACAAAGCTTCACAACAAAATGGAGGATGATTATCTTTCAAACTCTATGGTTTTATAACTTGAAAGAGAAATTGCAATGAAATTTAGCTCTAAAGCAATCTTAGATGATTTTTGAGATTTGAAAGTGTCGAGTCCCACTTTGATAGTTGGTCGAGTTGAAAAGTGTAGTTAAATTTCTTTTGTTCTTATTTTGTCAAGGTTGAATGCTTCCCTTTTCTTTTTTTTAATATTATTATTATGAAGAAACTTAATCTATAATTTTAATATATTTCTCTTGATTAAACTGGTATAATATCTCTATATTTTTTTTAGAAATATAAATGTATTGCCCACTATCAACTTACCAATTGGTGGACAAGTTCTATTCACAAGACTTCACAGATCAAGAGAAACCACAATTGAAGATGCAACTTCCCTACTATCAACTTACTATAGTTAAACATCTAGATTTTAAACAATTGTCAATTATTTCTGACTTATGTCAATGGTTGGTAAAGACTAGAAGATCAACAATCTACCATCTTGTTTACCGAGTGATCATACTTGTGCTTACTCTTCCAATTTCTACCGCAACTACAGAATGATCATTTTCAGCAATGAAAATTATCAAAACAAAGCTTCACAACAAGATGGAGGATGATTATCTTTCGGACTGTATGGTTTTATAACTTGAAAGAGAAATTGCAATGAAATTTAGCTCTAAAGCAATCTTGGATGATTTTTGAGATTTGAAAGAGCGTTGAGTTCCACTTTGATAGTTGGTTGAGTTGAAAAGTGAAGTTAAACTTTTTTTGTTCTTATTTTGTCAATGTTGAATGCTTGTTTTATTTTATTTTATTTTTATATTATTATTTGAAGAAACTTAGTCTATAATTTTAATATATTTCTCTTGATTAAACTGGTATAATATGTCTATATTTTTTTTAGAAATGTAAATTCCCCCCCCCCCCCTCTCAAATTTAAATCCTGGTTCTGCCCTTGCCTATGACATTGCTATATAAGAAAAGGGGAACATAAATAAAAGAAATATAAATAATAAATTAAGATTCTTTTTTTTCTTTTTTTGTGCCTGCATTTTTTGCAGTTGGAAATGTTATTTTTTGCGATGGCTAAATAGTCGGCCATAAAAAATTAAACGCAAAAAGCCTATTTTCTAGTAGTGCGGTGAGGGGTTCTTTGTGAGACAACCCCAATGGATTGGCAAAGTAGTTAAGGTCGGGATATGGGGGTGTGCTCCTCTCAACGGTTGTAGATTTGAAACCTCCTACATGTAAACAACTTCTTAGGACTAGTCCATATGAGGCTTTGCCCCAACTTTAATTGGGGCTCCACTAGTGAACAGTAAAATTACTACCCCAAATTAGTTGACAAGGTATAAATAACTGATATATAATTTACAAGGAATGTTATACAAACAAAAATTTTATATATAATTTTTATAGATAATGATATGTGAACCTTTCATTTCAAAACAAAACACAATTGCAGAACAAATTATTTACAATAATGGCAATGCCACATCATTCTTGTCAAGTTTTTTATATGAATTTTATGCATGAATAGAATTTCTCATAATTTACATAATAACCCAACAATTTTATGAGAAATATTCATGAGCATTTCTGTTCTATTCTGATTCTGAGCACGGTGGCGAAACTCTTCCCCTACTTGCTAAATAGACATTATCACACGAAGCTATCGCGTTTTGGTCGGTTTGGGTAGCAGCTAGAATAACGTCTTGCAAAACAATCCCCTTGCATGGGAGGCTTTTGCTGCAGTTAAGTTGTATGGCCACCTTTGAAGCACTTGTTCCTCTGATGTTCTTGTACCACACATTCTCTACCTGCACTGCTGAGGGCTGTGTACCCATTGCAACATAATAAGATGATTAGTCTATCACTATTACCTGCCATCACCCTGATTGGTACAACTCATTAGAGAGGCATATATTTTTATTTTTAATATTTTTGAGATTTCTGTCATGTTTTGCGCCACTAGATTATTCTTGAAAAAGCCCTTTTTTAACTTTTTACGTTTTTTATTAGTACAACTTAAGAAAATAGGCCACATGTAATTCAAGGACTTTAATTATGTCAGATTATTAGGGTTGGGGCTTTTAAATTACCTGTTTCGCGCATGGTTTGATTTGATCGCAGTAATTTTGATCTATGATTATGGGGTTGCTCACATTATGCATTAAAACATCTTGAAATTTGATATTTTTTGCAAATCCAGATCCGCCCTGCATATTAAAAACAAATTTTAAAAACAAAACAAACATGAAAATCTCTATTCATTACTATTTTTGAATTAAAACTTTGTTCTATTCGCTTCAAAAATAAATAAATAAGTAAATTAGAAAGCATAATTATTATGTGCATATGAATAAATATAGATTGTCTTGTTTCTGCTTCTGCGGCCACATGTGGGGTGTAGAAGTATGAAACATCCTTATCATCATAATTAGAACAGAGAAAATTAATCTTGTTTAGTGCTTGTAGAAGAATTGACTAGCTTCTCTCCCTCATGACATTGAAAAACAAGTTGGGAAACCACTCAAAGTTAAAATATATTGATTCCTATGTTGATTCTCCACATCAAAGTCAAAAGCTAGCATGCTTCATATATCTATCCAAATGCTAGCATTCTAATCCTGTTTAAATCATATATATGTGCAATTCGAGGCATAGGATCTTCTGTTCCTAAATTTATTTGTTCCAAAATACACTCTTAGTCATAAGATCATATCTGAAGATTCTTGTGTCTCAAGAATCCCAAATTTTTCAAAGGTTAATAATTTATTAAAACAGATGGATGAAAAAATTTAGGGATAGAGAATCTTTGGCCACAATTTATTATCATAAATGATGGATGATTAAGGGAAGCCCATTATAAATACACTTCATTTTTGTCATTAGTATCAAATATTATAATAATACAATTTTTAATGCATGATAGATGACAAGATTTGAAATGTAATTCTAAAAGATGGATTAGAAGTAATAATCCTCATAATTAATTGTGTATACAAAACTGTTTTTGTTTGTGAACAGAGAGATGAATAAGAATAAGGGCGAACATTGATATAATGATATATGAATTGAGAAGTGGAAGAATGCATAAATATGAAAGTTTGAAAAACTACCCTTATTACCTGCCAAGTCTTTATTCTAACTCCATTTGTGCTTCCTGAAAACTTTACTCTGTTGACACTCACATCTAAGACCCTGGCTTCTGAGTTACCTTTTCCTAGGCTTCCAATGCTGGAAAATGACTTAAAAAATAAGTTAATGAGATCAATAACAAAGTCACAAAAAGAAAAAAATAAAGTCAAGAGCTATGAAAGTAGAATTGTTTTGTTGAAAATGGGTAAGTAGTAAGTTGGTTGGTGTTAGAATTTGAGACCTGATTCCATGGCCTGGTCCACAGGTTATGTCTGTGACTTTGATATTTTTTGACCCATTTACTATTGAAATACAATCATCACCTTCAGTAAAAGAAGAGAGAGAGAGAAAAAAAATAAAAAATAAAAGAGAGAGAGAAAAAAAAAGAGAGAGAGAGAGAGAGAGAACCCAAAATTAGTTAAAGCAAATTTTCAATCATTTTGGTCATTTCATTTGGAAAAGTAGCATAGAAATGCTATATATTGACTTTCTTTCTCTTTTTTTACCAAAAATTGTTATCATTAGACATGAAGATAATAAAGTCTTTATTAATAAATACTCGTGAGATCCAATATATTTGTGTCTAATTAAAGAAAATATGAATAAAAAAAATTCATTTTTCTATTCTCTTACTCACCTGTTTTAATGATGGAGTTCATAATCTGAATATTTTGGGTACCAGTGACATGAATTCCATCAGTATTAGGACTATTTCCCGGTGCAATTATTATGAGATTCCGTGCTTTAACATTAACACATTTCTGAAATGAAATGTGTACTTGCTGCGGATTTCGAACCCGTAGCCCAGACACTTTCAAGTTCTTGCATCCAAGAAACGTTGCAACCTGTAATACATTTACAAAGATTTTAACAAATAGATTTTCAAATTTTTGGTTAAGTAATTTGTAGGATCAAAATGTTGAGAGTTAAGTCAAGCCATAAAAATACGAGATTATATTGACAGAAAAAAAAATAATAAAAAAAAGATCACAAAAAGTCTCCCCTTGGTCTATTTGTGACTTTTCCATAATTTTTTTTTAAAATATATATATATATATATATATAATAAAATTATAAAAAGATGAAAATAAATAAAAAGTACCGTTGGTGCATCCGTGCAAGGCTGCAAAAAAAAATTTTAAAAAATAAAAAAAAATTGATTGTTAGTAGAATTAGTAGAAACTCAAAGGAAAGAAAGCAAACAAAATTGATTAAAAGAATTTAATGGAATGACATACTCGGCTTTTGTCGATTTTGCAAGATTTTTTCCACCATATCTTCCCATTTCCGTTGATGGTTCCACCACCTTTTACCTCAAAGTTTCGAAGATTTTGAAATAAAAGCCAGTGTTGTGGACTATGTTCATAGTCCGATGGATTGACGGAAGCTTTGATGGTTCCATCGATCTGAGTATCATAAAGGCATTTCACAATATGCATTATTATTAATTTATTATTATTTTTTTTCACGAAATTGAGAATCATCTTTTTTACCAGTAATAAGGTTAAAGAACAATTAGAGTATGGTAATCCTCCTATCCGTGATTATTTATTTTATTTTATTTTATTTTATTATATTAATTTTGATAATTGTGTGTTTGGATTAATTTACGCGCATCTCAACTAATTTCAGAACCAACTTGCGGAAGTCCCATTTAAAGCCAAAGCAAATGTCATGTATGGATGGACAAATGTCATCCAAGGAGCTTATTGCAGCTAGGGACTATTAAATTTGAGACCTGAAAAGTGTACTCCCAGACTCCAAGTTGTTCCCACTAAGCCAACTCCTTAAGATTCATTTGGGGTGTTTGGTGTGGCTTTGGTGAACTTATAGATTCTACCTTTGGAAAAATTATTTCGAACAGTTTGGTTAAACTTATTTCAAACAGTTTCCGATTCTAGTAAATTATTTTAACTAAAAAAAAAACTGATTCTGAAAAATTGCCCACCCAATGCATCTAATTATCAGTTTCTGTTGTGGGAATATTAATTTACAATTATACCTTTAGATTTTTATTTTTTTATTTTTTAAATAGAAAAAATCCCAAATGGACTGTGGATTAACTTTTTTCTTTTTATTTTTTTTATGGAAAATATAGACTAGTAGTGAATAATAAAAAATAAAAATTAATTCAATTTATAACTAATAAATGTTAATTCAATTTACAAATTACAAAGGTAAAAAGAACATTTATATATAACTAGTGACCAAAAATTAATGACCATGAATCTCACGCCCTCAACAACTACTCGAATCCTATATAACCTCTTAGTACCTACCAAATCATTTGGTAAACCTCTTCGTCACCAGCCCAAACCCTTGGGTGTGTGTAGTTCACTAATAAGTCATATTTGATTTGGTGCATGTTTGACTAGTAATAACACAAAAATGTTATTAACCACCCATATTAACCTATAATTTATGTTGAATGTATTTGTGTGATACAGATTAAATTGATAAAATATGAGATTTATGAATAAAATAAATTTGAATTATTGATTTTTTTTTCTAAATAAATTCCGAATTCGTAGGTTTAGATTTGTAGTGTTGTTGATAAGAATAAACCCACCTTCATTGAAATATGAGAGTTGCAAGGACCTGAAAAATTGATTGGCTTAAGATGATATATCCTGTCCTCCGGTACCACAAGAACGCTATTGCTGTAAGAACAAACCTCCTCCCAAGCTTTCCTAAATGCCTATAATTAAAAAGAAAAAAATTAAATAACATTGATCTTTGAAATTAAAAGGATTTAAAAAATGAATGCTCGAGGACACATCAAATCAAATAAATATTTGACTCAAAAAAATTAATTAAGAAAGGATTTGGATCCTCTCTAGTAAAATTGGAAAATGAAAATTCGATTACGTAATTAATAATTATGAAAGAATCAATAAATTAATATTTCAAATTATTAAATAGTTAAGAAACATAGGCACGACAAAAATTTAATTTTTGTCATTTTTGTAAGGGAAAGAATCTTAATCCATCAAAAAAAGTCAAAATCAATGATTTTTTACACCACATTTTACAATTCAAATTGCATTTTGATAATCTTATAAAATTCATATATAATTTCCTCTTCTCAAAATTTAGAAGTATACCTCTGAATCGTCTGTTCCATCACCTTTAGCTCCAAAGTCATCTACATTCACCATATATGGAGATCCTGTAGGGAGACCAACTTGGTTGTAAAGCCTTGAAAGATCAAAAGTCTCAGTCTCATACTTCAAACTGTGAAGTTGATCATCATTTATAAAAAGTTGGTCCCCTAAAGTACTGCTAATGCAAGATGAACAAAACACCAAAACAATGAATAGTTGAACAAGATGTCTATATAGAGACATTTTTGTCATGTACTTTTCACAGAGAGAGAGAGAGAGAGAGGTGGTGGAATACTAGTAGTATATCATCATCATGAGGTTATATATTTATAGAAAAAGAGAAGTAGCTTTCAGAGAGAGAAAGAGGGGTTTGCAAACAAGCAGTAGAGACTGTTTTTCACGACTCAGGAGGTATGGAATGAGAAACAAGAGATTGAGACGAAAATACAAATGGAAAACCAATGGTTTGTTTGTTTACCGAACAACACACAAATGGAATGGTAATTTATAGTGCTGATGAGAGACAGAGAGAGAGAAATTACTTTCTCGTTTCTACACATACATACATACATTCCTATTCTTAGGGGAACATCTTCTCTATCATCCAAAATCGGATTGGAGCATGCCATCAACTGTGTGGATCTACTACAAAGCCCACATTGATAATCCAAATTGTCTAATATGTAGACGTCGTTGATTACGTTATAATTATAAAAAAATCACATTGATTGGATATCGATAGTCACTTGATCAGATCAAATTTGTGTCAACGATAAGTATAATTTTAAAAATAAATTGTTAATATAAATGTGATCTGATCAAGTAATTTTCGATATCCAATTAAAATAATTTTTTACAAGAATGAAATATTCAAAAATTTCTACGTATAGGATGATTCAAATTATTGATACAAATTTCGTGGTACACCTCCGGAAGCTCAATTATACGCTCTAGCTGGGAACCCAAATGGAACTCTGAGCCTATTCGTCATTAAGAATCTTATCCTTAAGCAACGCCACCTTGAATGACTTTTACTATATCTGTACTATGTAGAGGGAGAAATTTTTTATGTAAATAGGGGATCTCATGTCAATACCTATGAATATATATGATTTTTATTGTTTCTCTAAACATCTAATATAAATGTAGTGAATTTAATTGTCAAAGTCAAATTACAATAACTAAAGTTATCACATGGCATATACACTACAAAAACATTAAGGTTTTAGATACTAAAATTTAGGAATAAAATTATTTTTTAGGAACTAAATATTTTTGTTACAAAAAGTGTCGTCATTATATTTTTAGTAACGAAAATTAGACATTAGTGATGAATTATTATCTTTTTGGAATCAAATTTTTTGTCTCAAAAAATAAACCATTTTGAAACCAAATTATTGTCTCTAAAAATCCATTTATTAGTGACATTTTCAAAATTTCGTCACTGAAAGCTTTGTTTTTTACTTTTCGGAATGACCTTTTGACAACTATCCTCATAACGATTGAAATTGGTCCCTAAATATCTTTTGCAATAAAACTTTTGTAGTGACCCTATCCGTATATAAATTACTCATGTAGAGGAATTATTCTATCTTTTAAGAATTTCAATTAAGCTGTGTGTCTTTTAAGAATTTCAATTAAGCTGTGTGCCTACGAGATAGCAGTGGTTGCTTCATGAAATACATAAGAGAAAAGATAGAAAATAGCGTGTATATAACTAATAAAATTGTAAAGACATACCACGGAGGATATAGGGCAAATCTATGTGATAATTTTTCATACTATGTATATGTACACACTACACCAAATTAAGGTTTAGGAAGAAAAATTTAATAATAAAATCATATTTTATAAGAATTAAATGTCAATAGTGTCATTATTATATTTTTAGTCATAAAATTAAACATTTTAGTGATGAATTACTATCTTTTTATGACTAAAATTGGCATATCAAAAAGTAAATTTTTGAGACCAAAAATTTTATCTCAAAAAAAAAAAAAAATTTAGACCAAATTATTTTGTATATATTAGTTACATTTTTAAAAGTTTGTCACTATAAGTTTCTTTTTTGATTTTTCGAACAGATCTTTTAATGACTATTCTTGTGACAATAGAAATTAGTCTCTAAATATTTTTTGTAACAAAATTTTTTACTTTTAGAAACAAAAAAGTTTGATTTTTAAAATTCTTATTTGTTGCAATGACATGAATACCATATTACAATATATTTTTTATGATTGCAGGTCAACAAATAAGGACCAACATTTTGTTAACTTCAGAAAACAAATACAGAGTATTTGTAATACTTAGCTTATTTTTTTCTTGGTAATTAATGGTTTTCCATTCAAGAAAATTTCTACAAAAAATTTGCTAATAAAATCAAGAAACTGTCTGTTGTGTCAAATTTCATTAATATTTTTTTAATATGCAGATTTCAATATTGTTAGATTAATAGGTTCTATATTTTGAAATTAATTTTTGAATTAGAGTTGCACTATTTTAAAATAAATTAGATTAAAGAAAAGTGATACTGAAAAGTAATTGTTTAGGTAATTACATTTTTCTCTTTTGACGCTAGAAAATATATATATATATATATATATATAAAATAAGCCTTATAAATTTGAAATCATTCCACTAAGGAGAAAGCAAAAACAAGTGAAGGTATATGTAGACACAAGAATAATTAAAAATAAAGGGCGTTTTTTTGATAAATCCATTTTTTAAGAGTTTTATTCCATTCAATTCAATTTTAGTATTAATTGATACTAATTAAGAAATTAATTGATACTAATTAATTTATAATGGAAAAAAAATTGTAACAATAATACTTCCATTACATTTTTATCAAATGTTTCAATTTTTATATTAATTGATACAAATTAATACTAATTATATTAACTTTTATTAATGAAATATTTTTTTTTAAATTAAAACTGAAAAAAATGACAAAGTAATCATTTTTATGTAATATAAGAACAGAAAGGACAATTATACAGTAAAAAACTATTTTATAGCTTATTTACCAAACACTACTCTGCTGCTTAAATCCATAATCCCACAGCTGCACCAAACAGGTTAACAGCTTATGTTCACAGTTATAAGCCATCATCTGTTAAGTTATAATCGATAATTACTTTTCCACAGCTCTACCAAACGAGGCCTCTGTAGTAACGCAAAAACAAGTGAAGGTATGTGTAGAGACAAGAATAATTAAAAATAAAATGTAAATTTTAATATTAAAAAAATGACAATATCATTTCTCATTTAGAAGACAACAAATGACATATGGAAATGAGATAAAATATCGGTCATGTTACATGTACTAATTATTATATCAATTAGTATATCAACGTATACTATGCATTGCTATTTCAAAATTATGACCTCACCCATTATACAAATTATAAAAATTTAAAATCTCTAAAATTATGTCATATTAATATATTAATTAATGGCGTTGGCTTCTGTCCAGTCCTTAATCGAACTGGATCGTGCTGTTGGGCCCGTGGGGGCCCACCACGGGTCCCGTTTTGATAATTTGAATCGTTAATGTGTAGAACTCGTCGAGTACTATAAGCCTGTAAAAAATCACGTTAATCGGATATCGGTAGTTATGTGATCAAATCAGATTTTTGTCAACCGTTAATTTATTTACCGTCAATTTTTTGTTATACAAAACTGATTTGATCACATGGCTACCGATATCCGATTAACATGATTTTTTATAGGCTTATAGCACTCGACGATTTCTACACATTCAACGGTTCAGATTATCAAAACGGGACTCGTGGTGGGCATCCACGGGCCCAACAGCACGGTCCAGTCCGATTAAGGACTAGACAGAAGCCAAGCCCTTGATTAATATACGTTTTTGTACATATAACATTATTCATAAAGTCTTGGGTTTGGTTAAAAATGCATTAATTACTAGCTTTTACTCTATTTTTTAAGGAAATAGTCAACCATAAATGACTACCAGGTCGTATTATTAAATATCTACAATTATTTTAAAAGGGCTGTGATTGAGGCCTCGAAAATGAGGTCGAAATTGCCTCGAATGCATTTTTTTTTTTTTTCTGGGCTAATACATTGCAGAAAAAAATAAATAATAATAATAATTATCAATTTTTATATTAATTGATACTAATTAATACTAATTATATTAACTTTTATTAATGAAATATTTTTTTTAAAATTAAAACTGAAAAAAATGACAAAGTAATCATTTTTATGTAATATAAGAACAAAAAGGACAATTATACAGTAAAAAAATTTTACAGCTTATTAACCAAACACTACTCTGCTGCTTAAATCCATAATCTCACAGCTGCACCAAACAGGTTAACATCTTATGTTCACAGCTATAAGCCATCATCTGTTAAGTTATAATCTATAATCACTTTTCCACAGCTCTACCAAATGGGGCCTCTGTAGTAACCCAAAAACAAGTGAAGGTATGTGTAGAGACAAGGATAATTAAAAATAAAATGTAAATTTTAATATTAAAAAAAATGACAATATCATTTCTCATTTAGAAGACAACAAATGACATATGGAAATGAGATAAAATATCGGTGATATTAAATGTACTAATTATTATATCAATTAGTATATCAACATATACTATGCATTGCTATTTCAAAATTATGACCTCACCTATTATACAAATTATAAAAATTTAAAATCTCTAAAATTATGTCATATCATCTGTTAATATATTAATTAATATACATTTTTGTACATATAGCATTATTCATAAAGTCTTGGGTTTGGTTAAAAATGCATTAATTACTAGATTTTACTCTATTTTTTAAGGAAATAGTCAACCATAAATGACTACCAGGTTGTATTATTAAATATCTACAATTATTTTAATAAGAGTGGTACTAGGGATTTCAAATAATTTATTAAATTTTTTATTAAATCTTTTATATGGGTGTGAAATTTATACACATGTGGATTTGTGTAGATTCCACACCTATATGAAAAATTTAGTAAAACATTTGATAAATTATTAAGAATCTGTAGCATTTTCCTTTTAATAATGGGACAACTATACCCCAGTTTTGCAATCTAAAAAAGAATTAATGGTGTCACTTTTATGAACAATTAGAATATTATTTTTTATATATAAAACGTGACTTTTTTTAATACATTTATAATGGATATTTTTTTGTACCAAAAAAAAAATGTATATGATAACTAAAAATTCAATTCTAACCGTTAAAAAATAAATAAATAAATAAAATTCAATCAGTCATTGGTAATAATTAAAATAAAATAAAAATGTAGCTTACTTAGGTACTAAAAATAGATTTTGCTGCCCACCTAAAAATAAAAAAATTATTGGTCACTTAATATTGAAAAGAATTTACGTAAAATTTGTCTCACTTATCACTGAGCTCACCTTGTTCCCCAGAAAACATGAACATCTACTTACTACTATTTTGGACT